ATATATATATATTAAAAATTTTATATAAATCCAAGCAATGAATTATTTTGCAAGTTTTGAAACTTTACGTAAGTGGCTGGATGATGTGTATATTCTGCAAGGTATTTTTTTACACAAATTATGCTTGATTTTCATCCATACTGATGTATGTAGTTCTTTTTTTTTTTCACTGCTGATTAGAATTCTATTGTACAAATATGCCACAATTATCTATTCTTCAGATAAATGATAGTTTTTCTTTTTTCAATATTTTGCTGTTACAAAAAAAAAAAAGCTGCTGTAAGCATTGTTCTGGTTACCTAGTGCCGCTCTGACAAGAAATATACCACAAATGGGATGGCCTTAACAAACAGGAATTTATTCTTACAGTTTGGAGGCTTTAAGTCCAAGTTCAAAGTGCCAGGTTCTAGGGGCTGGATGAGAGCCCCTTAACCTTGGGGCCCAGCTCTGCCTCCTGCTCCCGGCCCACTAGAGCTAGAGGCATTTCTTCACTCAGACAGCTGCTGGCTGCTGAGTCTGAGAAGCCACAAGGTTGACAAGTAAAAAGGCACAGTCTTGATGTTACCAAACCACACAACAGGCCATTAATTTAAGTCCATTTTAAGTCCCAAGGTCGGCAGAGCATAACAGGCTGCTGAGCAATGACATGGCTACATGCAGGGTCCAAGCGTGCCATAGGCTAGAGACCATACCCAAAGACTTCTCCTTATATACAGGAAGCAGACCACATACCCAAAGGCAGCTACCCAGCTGCTTGTGGTAGATCCCACCATGGAGTTGATTACCAGTCTCCTCATGGGGAATAACTACCACCAGCTGCCCAGCCACTTAAGCAGGCCCAGCCAAGTTGACATAAAAACATAACCACCATAATTCCACCCCCTGTCAACTTGGCACCTGTACAGACCTTCAATAGGTGGTATCTGTACAGGTCTCCACTGGGTGGCTCCAGTCCCCTACTTTGTGGCGACCTCACCCCCTTGGCCTGGCCGGCCCCTCCTCTCCCTCTTGGGCGTGGCAGCCCTGCCGCCTCACTCTTGGGCAGCAGCTATGGCTCCATCCCACTGGCTCACATGAACGAGCAGCCCCACACTCCAGAACCAAAAGTTGGTGAAGGCCTGGCTTTTTGAAACCTAGGGGGCTGTGATCATTCCACCTCCAAAGGCCATGGTCCTACCCTTTAAGGCTGAGGCAGCTCTGCTTCCATTTCCTTGGTCTCCACTTCTGCCGATTAATGCCAAAGGCAACCCACTCCGCTGAAAAAACCTGCCCCAAAAGCACTTGGCTTTTTTGCTCCATAGGCTGGCCAACCCGCTACTCCATTTCATGCCAATCTTTTCTACCAATTAATGCCCGAAGGCAACCCACTCCGCCAGTAAGCCGCCTAACCAAAGGCATCAAGCTTTCTCCTCCCTGGGCTGGTAAGGCTGTTACTGTCTCAAGCTGGTTCTCTCGGCTCTGCTCCTGCCATCTCTCATGCCGGTCTCTGGGCCCTGCTCCTGCTGTGTCTCATGCCAGTCTCTTGCCGTCTGTCCTGCCATCTGTCATACTGTATGCTGGGGTCTCTCTGCCAGGGTCTTGTGTCAAGGATGTACTCCACTCGTTTCCACATTTTAGGTATCTGTCAGAGAAGCACCCCACTCTCTAGGTACCAAATTCTGTTCTGGTTACCTAGTGCTGCTCTGACAAGAAATATACCACAAATGGGATGGCCTTACCAAACAGGAGTTTATTCTTACAATTTGGAGGCTTTAAGTCCAACTTCAAAGTGCCAGGCTCTAGGGGCTGGGTGAAAGCCCCTCCCCTCAACCTTGGGATCCAGCTCTGCCTCCTGCTCCCGGCCTACTGGAACTAGAGGTGTTTCTTCACTCTGCTGCTGGCTGCTGAGGCTGAGAAGCCCCAAGGTTGACAAGTAAAAAGGCACAGTCCCGATGTTACCAAACCGCATGGCAGGCCATTAACTTAAGTCCACTGTAAGTCCCAAGGTCGGCAGAGCATAGCAGGCTGCTGAGCAATGACATGATACGTGCAGGGTCCAAGCGTGCCATAGGCTAGAGACCAGTCCCAAAGCTTCTCCTTATATACAGGAAGGAGATCACATCCCAAAGGCAGCTACTCA